CTCAAAAAATGAGTTGCGTAACTCAACTAAAGAAGGAGAAAGGTTTATTTGGGCAAGAGGAAAGTATATGAAAATATGAAAAAGAAGTAAGCGATGATAGCAGTGAAACAGGAAGCCCGATTCAAACTATATTTTATCAGATAGAAAGTAATTAAAATGCTCTAATTGGAAGAGTGTCGTGGTGAGATTAGCATTTTCTAGTGATCGTTTTGGTAGAAAAGTGAAGGATGGATCTAAATAGAAAAAAAAACATGGGGATGGGGAAAGATTGATGTGGCTATTGCTGAGAGTGAGGAGAAATGAAATGGGCCAAATCTAGGACAATGGTGGTAGGGATGAAAAGAAAAGAGTCCAGAAATATGCCATATTATCAAGTGGGCACAGTTAGTGAATTTTAGGGTATGGAGAGAAGTACAGGATGACTCTCAGATTTCTAGCTTAGGAAACACTGGGCTCCACTAACTCAATATGGGAAAGGGAGGAGCAGGAATTTTGGAATTGTAAGAAAAAGTCATTATATGGTGGATGGGGAGGAGATGGAAGGAGGTACCTGATGCGTTCATTTTGGTTACACTGAATTGGAGGCTTAGCATGGTCACTCCTCACTTAATGAAACTTTACTAGACACCCATCACTCAGAATAAATTGGGGTGGGAGGGCTGGGTGTGCAGATACAAAATGAAATCTGACCGAGTGTCTGACCTCCCATATATTACTGCTCTTCCTTGTCTCCCCGCTAAGCTGTTCATTTTTTTCTCCCCACAATGGGAACATATGGACAACAGAGTCAGTATGTTTGAAGCGGTCAGGAGGAAGGAATGGGGAGGAAGATAGGAAGGGGAATATAGTTAGGCTCTGGAGTCCACCCTAAAGAAAGGCTCTTCATGAACTGTTTCAATACAATGTCTTCTAGAATTAATTGTGTCTTTAGTTTGTTATGCTTGTTAACATAGCTAACTGTTAAATGGCTAAAATCCATCCTCTGTTAACTCAGTGACTATTACAAAACTGTGAACAAAGGAGTATCTAACAAGTTTCTGTTGACTACTTTATAGTGAGATAATTTAAAAGGTCCTAAAAATAATTACAACATGTGAAGAGACAGTTTTAAGCTTTTTGTTTTTCCTGGTAATTGGAACTCAGGATTAGTGAAATTTGTAAGTAAATATTATCTTATTTTTTTTCAATTACTTTTTTTTATTGTGATACAATATATGTAACATAGAATTTACCATTTTAACCATTTTTAAGTATACGGTTCAATGGCCTAAGTACACTCACACTGTCGTGCAACCACCAACACACCTATCTTCAGAATTTATATTCCTCTGATTCTTAAAAAAATATTAACTGATGTAAGAATCAAGACCCACTCATCACATGATTTTCTATTTTATATATTCCACTTAAAGAAAAGCAGAACTTCTGCTGTGCTCTAAAATTATATCTAGAGCAATTTCTTCATAAATTGAGTATCAGCTTATGGATATTTAAATTCAGCGAAGAATTTTAACATTCTACCATTTTTATGTTCTGTAAGAGAAACGTGTTATTCAGTTGAAGCAAAGAACACTCTTAAGTTCAACCATACCAACACTATGAATACTAAATACTCTCTTTAGTTAAAGTGAAATTTAAAGTTCAGATCTCCATGTCGTTCTAGGAAAAGAAGAGTAGGCCAGGATGCGAAATAACAATAACGAGCCATAGTCTAGTACAGTTCTTGGTCCACTGTGTTGACTGCAATAAATGTTTTAAATGAATAAGAGAGTTTACACGGAGAGAAAACTAAATAGTCGTTATATAAAAATTAGTAACTTAACAATTGTTTAGATCATGATAATTAATAGGTGAAATGAATATCCTGTTACTCGCTGAGAGAAAAGTTAACAAAAGAGTCATTAGAAGAGCTTGTGTGAAATAAGCTACAAGTATTATAATGCACTAATTACATTTTAATAGATAAAGACTTTCTAAAGCTAGGGAGAGGCAGTAAGTGATTTATCAAAGGTCATACTCTGGAGTGGAGGGTCACAGGGGATGGCCTGGGGCCTTCTCAGGTGGAGATCCAGGGTGGGGAGTAGCCATGAAGAGTGCAGACAGTGGAGCCAGGCTACATGTGTTTCAAGTTCTACTCTGCCACTTACTATCTGGGTGGAATCAGGCAAACTATTTAACCTTTGTCTGCCTCCGTTGCTTTATCCACAAAATGAAGCTTATTATAGGATTTCTGTGAGAATTAAATTTGTCAATACAGGTCAGGTGTCTCAAACTATGTGGCACAAACTAAAAGCTTAATAAATGTTAGATATTTTTATTGCCATTAATCCTTCTTGATTTAAAACATGGCACAGGGACTAAATTTCCCTTCTCCCTGAGAAGAGTCCAAAGGAATGCAAAGTACTCATGGAAGGTGTTCTGTTTCACTGTCTTTCATTTATTCTTTTGTGACCCAGGCTGAAGAAAAGTGACCTTTCATTAAGACAAGAATACTGCTTCTACCACTGCCACTACCATCCTGCAACATGACCACAATCACCACCACCACTGTGACTACCATCAGTGACAGCAACTCTACCAGTTCATCATTACCACCATCACCACCACCACCAGCATCATCAGAACTACCGTCACCATAAGTTTCACCACTTTTTCCACCATCACCATCGTGATGTTACCCCTATAGCACCATCATCCTAATCTTTACCATCAGCACATCATCACCACCACTGGAAACAACAATAAGACCTTTAATATCCATGTGAGTGTAAACGTGAACTCAGAAGTGTCACTGGGAGAGTGAAGAAAAACAAGATGTAAATATATACATGCTAGTAAAAGGAGGAACAGGAATTTTTTTAAAGGATATTTGGAACCAAGTACAGAGATAGCAGTAGGCATAGGAAGTAGTCATTTTTGAAAGATTTTTTGACAAGTTTGTCTTACATTATTATTACATAATTAATGGATTTCACAAACTTAGGGTTCAATTAGCTAAAGGAATATACCAGGAGTAAACAAAAAGTCATATTTATGTGCTGTACACAAAGATTGAGCCAAACGCTTCAGAGTAAAACCAACAGAAAGGTAAAAATTAAGACTCCCATGTTATATGCTAAGCTGCGCTCTTTGAAATTGGTAGCTAACTAGTGGTTCAGAGAACGGGCTGTAATCAGAGTCCTGGGTTTGAGTTCCATTATGTGCTACATACCTGACCTTGAGTAAGTTATCTGACCTCCTAATGACTCAGTTTTCTCCATCTGAAAAATGGTGATATCCGTTATTTAGACTTTGTGTGAATATTTAATGAATACTAATATAATGTTGTATGTCAATTATTTCTCCAAAAACCCCCAACACTACTCACCTGCAACCATGTTAACACCAGCACTTAGCACAATGCTTGTATTAATCTAAGATTAAGACCTACCTACCTCTAAAAAAAAAAATTAAAAAAAAAAAAAAAAGAACCTTGTCACTCCCTAAACACTTCCCCCTCCCAATTTTAACCACGGAGTAAATGGTACCCTCATTCACAGATAACAGCTACCCTCCATTCATCCCTTTCCCTCATTCCAATCCCTCATCACAAAGGGAACTCATTAACAACTCCCTGTTTCACCTCCACAGTGTGGCTCAAATCCACCCACTTCCTGGCCCCTTCTGCTGCCGAAGCCCAGACCACTCTGATAAACCCCGTCTCCCGGCTGCTACTCAGTACAATCCATTCTCCACATAGCAGCTAAGGTGAACTTTAAACATGTAAACCAGATGATACTTAAATCTCTCAATAGTTTCCTACTGCACTTAGAATCAGATGCTAATTCTTTACCATCATTTTTTCTACTTGATCTGTCCCCTGCCCATCTTTTCTACTTTACCTCTTACACTCTCACCCTACCTCTAAAAATTGTCGTTCCGTCATCCTTCTTACTGTTTAACATACTGAGCTTTTGACCCTCCTTTCAAAAAGGGCTCCCAGACTCACTTGTCTAAAGTAGTACTCTTCGGGCTTCCCTGGTGGTGCAGTGGTTGAGAGTCTGCCTGCGGATGCAGGGGACACGGGTTCGTTCCCCGGTCCGGGAAGACCCCATGTGCCGCGGAGCGGCTGGGCCCGTGAGCCATGGCCACTGAGCCTGCGCGTCCGGAGCCTGTGCTCCGCAACGGGAGAGGCCACAACAGTGAGAGGCCCGCGTACCGCAAAAAAATAAAAATAAAACTAAAAAAATAAAGTAGTACTCTTCATACTCCATCCAGTTCCTCTTTGTCATTTTTCATAACACTAGTAATCAAAAGTTATATTTATTATGCGTCTGTTTATAATTATTAATTTATTTAATCTCCTATTATCAGAATGTAAGTTCCTTGAGGACAATTATATTATTGAATACATTCTATTCCATGTTCTATTATTCCTATGTTTTATTATTGATCATGACGTATATTATTGATCAGGTTTCTATTCTTAGTGCCAAGAGAAGTGCCTAGCATATTACTGAAATGCAATAAAATGTTCACTATACAAATGAAATTTAGGGAGATCTAAATGTCTGAGTGAAATAATATCTCAGTATGCAGAGAACAACTACAATGGTCATTTTTCTATAGAGAAGGAAGACCTCAAATCCCCAAGTGGAGGCAAAAGAACAGATGGGTAATAAATTCAGGGAGAATTATGTTTGACGATCCCATAAATATTTTTCTTATAAGTCGTTCTGAAATAAGTACAAGAAAGGTTAAGAGAAACTTTATCAATTTTGCTTAGTTCCAGAGTTTATAATTGATCTACGGTATCCAAAGATTATACTTTCGCTAACACAAACATTCAAATGCTAATCATTGCCAAAAAAAAAAAAAAAAAATGGTACTGGGTGATAGGTCCAAAGCTTAGGTATTGTGATTATTTACTTATAGGAGTATGTGATTAGTTAGTTATGGGAATATATAGTATCTGGGAAGCAAAATTGAAAGTGACAGCATTTTAATTACTCTGTACTCACGGTGCATGGGGTCTGCATCCATGGTTCCCCATCGATCTGCATCGGCAGAGACTTGCTAGTCCTGGGGAAAAATATTTCATTTTAAGTTTAACATGGAAATACTTGATACAACAGACTATATGTCCCATAAAAAATTATGAGACCAGGGAATGCAAATATGGTAATAACTGGGTTCTGCACTCAAGTTATCTCTTTGAAAGGAACTTCAACTTTTTTTTTTGGCCACACCACGTGCCATGTGGGATCTTAGTTTCCCAACCAGGGATCAAACCTGCACCCCCTGCACTGGAAGCTCGGAGTCTTAACCACTGGACCACCAGGGAAGTCCTGGAACTTCAACTCTTGACTATTAATGAATATTTTGAAAGGTGTCTTCCTTACAGGAATGTTAAGAGTTTCCTGGTAACTGTCGTGATATAAACAAAAATTCTGGATGCCAAAAGACAAATGTAGTGTTTACGTTTAATGCCACAATCAGAATTCCTACAGCCAAAAGGGCCTCCCTTGTTTTCATGCAAACCCACATTGTAAATGTGGAGAAAAAGTGTTTGACATCTCAGATTTTCCAGTATCAGCACTTTCATATATATAACACCAATTATATCTGTGCTATAATCTGTGGTTTTACGTTAGGGTAAAAATAGACCTTTTCTCTACAGGTAAAATTTTGAAAAAATGTTTTTTGTAAAGATTTAAATGTAATACACATATAAAATCTTACTTTATAATAATCCATTATTTAATTTATAGAAGCAATGGTAGACTTTAGTCCATGAAAGAATTTAAGTTAATGGTGCGTCAACAGTGTTTTCATTGGGTAATTTGCCTAGTAGATACTTTGATGCTTCAGTAAATTAAACTGAGTGTAAGCCAGATTAGAGGGGGTAGAATTTGTATGTTAGAATTGTATCCACGGCCTCAACAAAAGAGAATCAAATTCCAATGGACATGGTAAGTAACAGTGAACCAACACTTTGTAAATACTGTCATTTTCATTATTTTGAAATATATCAGCATTAATCACTGATAATTTGAGGCACAGATAAAACAAACATGGTTATCAGAGTCTTGTATGGCTTTAATTAATTTGTAGTTATGCCATGTCAACCTCCTTTCTCAATTATAGAGAAAGAGCTACCTGATGACCACAGAGGAGCACTGAGCCAGCCGCCGCCCAGCACTTTTCAGTCCTGTGTATATTTGTCCCATCTCCATAGCTCCTTCCAAGCCAACCACCTCCAGCAGCTGATCGCTCAGATCTGAAAGAAAACAGAAACCTTGTAAATTACAGTGCATATGCATATGTGCACAATTTCATGTCATTAGATGTTCTGGAAATGAAAAATGAAAGCTACTTCACAAAGAAAGCTTCTCTGTCTTGGATACTCTACTAAAAGTAACGACAAGATGGCCTACTTTTGAAACGCTCAGTTTAACCAGACCCTGAGGTGCTGTGGGAAAAGATGTGCTGTCAGCTTATTCTAAAACAAAACGGGAAGAATGGATTCTGAGCCAAATAATGCCAAAAAATATACCAGTAGTTTTTAACATCAACAAACTTAACGTTATTCCACATGTATATATGGAACGTTTTACATCCCACAGCAGACATTTGGCGGCAGCAAATACACATTTCAATACTATAAATAAAGTATGAGGATATGCTGTCAAACATGATTTTGTTAAATTACTCGAAAAAAAGACCTTAGAGATCATGGAATTAAAGTTTCTCAATTTAAAGATAAGACTTGAGGCCCTAAATCATTGAGTGACTCGTCCAAAGTCATAGGTAAACTTGAGTAGGATGTCAAGTTTTTCTTGAATTTGAAAAAAAGAATTTTTTTTTTTTTATGATAAGGAATGTGCTACCAAATTCTACTTATAATTAGCACAATACAATCATAATTTTTTTTTTTTTTACCAGAGGACAGTAAAAAGAGGCTAATAGTATTACATATTGCTTGTCGACTGTTTCCTAAGTGCCTGTCACTGGATTAGTCACTCTCTGTATATCACCTTACTGGCTTCCCCCGCAAAACCAGTTTAAGACAAATATGATTATTAGAATTTACAGAGAGAGAAGCTAAAAATTAGAGAAGTTAATTTATTCATATTAACATACACAGGAAGTGACAGAGACAAAATTTGAATCCAATCACTCTGAGGCCTAACCACAATGCTGTATTTGATAAATGAGCCATACCAAAGAGAGATACTTTTAAAACTTATAGAAGTATTTCTCATTTAGGGAGTGAGAGTGTTCTGTGTGAGCTCCAAAGTCCCTTTTCAACCTGAAGACTTTCACTCAGTGGGAAAGCAGAGGAAGTACTAATGTCATAAAAGCCGACAGAGCGCGGTCTCAGCACACAGCCCCTTCGCTTACTTATTTGGCTCAGAACGCCTGAACCCTTGATTTGAAGGTAACATTCTAGATGCACATATACGATCCTTTTCTATACTGATATTTTCACGTAATCCCATGTATTTTCAAATGTCAATAAATTGTTTAGTATTGTTTTAGCAGCAACAAAAGCTGGAGGGGGTGGCATAGAGTGGCACAGGGTAGAGCATGATGATTATACAGATAACCATGTAATAGCTCGTCGTAGCTGAGGGTGGACTTGAAGAAAAACCAGCATGTGTGTGTTGTATGTACTCCATTTTGTACAGAAAGCCCTCATTCCCCACTAATGAATCCATTTGAGCACAAAGTTCAGAGAAATAAATGATATATTTTCAGCGTTGTTCAAATGTGTGGTGAATAGCACTTTGAAATCTCAAAGTTTGCTAGGCCCATGATCTTTGGCAAATTTTATATAGGCCCTGAAAACAAAAAGTGTAACCAATCCACTGTATTTTTTTTTGAAGAGAACTGACTTAAAAAAAACGATTATTTTTTAAACTTTAAGCTCTAGCTGCAGCATGAGATTTCTTCACGTGGACACGATCATTCAGCTACCAGATCAAATGTTAACAAGTCCTAATAACCGAGAACATTCACCTTGCTGTTCTAAACCCTATTTAGACTTACTTCTCATGAAACTTATCCTGTGTTTCTAGTTTAAATTTATGTTGCCAAGAACAGATGGACAAGGAATGGAAACATATTCTTTCAGCTGTAGCCGGCACTAAAATGTGCTTGGCTCTATAGCCTGGGTGTTAATATACGCATTTTTTAGATACATGTCAACCAGCAAACTGCACTGTGGCAAGCACTAAAACCCCAGATGTGTGTCTGGTGATATTTATAAAACAACAACCACCACAAAAGTGAAGTTCATATTTAGTATTATATATTTTCCACTGCTTGATTCTTAAATAGGTGAAACGTTATGCTGATTTCTGTAAGGATCTGGCTGATGGAAACTATTCTACAAGAAATGAAATACTTTCTCACAAGAGAGTTAATCTGTATAAGCCCTAACTTCTCCATGAATCACAGGGATTGCCTACACCCACACCATATTGCTACTGTCTACCACCCTCCTTCTGATTTTTTTCTTTCTTTTAATTTGTCTTTGTTTTTCTCCCTGCAAAAATGCCATGAAAATCAATTCTACCATTAATAATTGGTAATGAAGACATTTCTTACAGATTTAGAAGACCTAGGCTTTCAAACTTTCATGTTCTTGCTAACACAAAGAACTGTAGAGAAATGGTGGTCTATTTACTAGCTCTGGTCAAAGTAAATAAATACCATATTCCTTCTAATTAAGTGTTCAGAAAAAAAGAAATTCTAATTTGTGCTGCATAAATTTGCTCCCATAAACACTTTGACCTTTTTTTATACAGAAGCCTGCAATGTCTGTGTACAATTGCTGCCTCTTACATACTGTCTTTGAGGTCAGGGTCCTGACTGACTTCAGACAAAGATAATTTCTATATAATTTTGAATTCTGTTTCTACATGCGGTATCATCTAGAAACATCAAAGACTTCCTCACGTCACATTCTAGCTAAAATTTACTTTAAGTGCAGGTCCCTTGGGATGTCATAACCAACCAGATTCACCTCCTTAATTGGTCTGCTACCTGGCTATTGCTTTCATACTTAAAAGTAGGAGTAGTGAACTACAGCCCATGAACCGAATCCAGACCACTGCCTGTTTTGGTATGGCTTGCAAGAACGGTTTTTACATGTTTACAAATAGAAAAAAAAATTTAAATGACATATTGTGACATCTGAAGATACATTAACTTCAAATGTCACCATTCACAAATTAGTTTTTATTGGGACACAGCCACTCATTCGTTTAGGTTTTGTCTATGTCTGCTTTCACACTACAATGGCGGAAGAGAGTGGCTGCAGCAGAAATCACATGGCCCAGAAAACCTGCAATATTTATTACTCGTACCTTTAGAGAGAAAGAGCCAAACTCTGCTTAAGAAAACATTAACTACTTTGGGCCACTGAGTTTTTCACTTTAGTACTGCCACTATAAATCCTAATGGCATCACAGTGAGTGGCCTGAAAGACATAATGTCCGAGCACTCATTCCTCAGTGTGTGTATTGGTGCATAAAAGAGCTGCTCTCAACCATGGCATCTCACCACACTCATGTACTGTGAGGTTTCTTATAATCAGTTTGTTATCAATCATGTAATACCAAAGTTTCTAAATAACTCGGTTACAAAAGAAACTAGAGCAGCTTCACATTCAGCATTACGCTCAGTCATTGCATCTGGTTGGCTTTCTTGCGTGTGAAAGTAGAATCATAGGTAGGAAGGCAGAAGTTGCATCTGGGCCAGGAGATGCAGGTGAGAGCTCCCCCTGGGGGAGTCATCCGCTGAGCACTGAGAAAGCCTGACCTCCTGATATTGGGAAGTGTGTCTATTCCAAGGAAGATAGTGCTTTTGATCAATTAATGATATGAGATATACTTCTGAAGGGGAAAAATAGTACGTTCCTGAAAGAGTTAGCATATCTTTCCAAATTGCTCCAGGGGTACAACAGAGGCAACAGAATCTGCCAAATTTGGTATTTTCATATTTAAAATAGAGAGTCTAGAAGAGGTACTTCAGAGGAAAGAAACTTAATGAAATAAGCAAAACTGGCGTATAGTAGAGCAAGATTCTTAACACGGGTCAGTGACTCTGAATGCAGAAGAATGTAACTTTTTCACTAACATGTAATTGAAATTAAGCACTTCTTTCAATTATAAATTTAGGCAAGAAACCATAGTCGTAGTAGAAATATCTCTGACTTTGTCACTGACAGATATCATAGATATTTCCATATCACATTACAGTTGTTGCAATATTTCAAAATTCTATTTATAGTAATCTTTACTGACACCTTAATAATTATTGAGCCCCTCCCAGATTCTAAAGGTAATTTATTAATATGGGAAAAGAATCTAAAAAAGAGTGGATATATGTATATGTATAACTGATTCACTTTGCTGTATACCACTGTAAATCAACTATACTCCAATAAAAATATTTTTAAAAGAAGCACATATATTACTAAACCAAAATCTTAACATTTCAATATAATTGATTTCCTTTGTAATCCTGCATATTTTTTTGTGAATTTAAAAACATTACTCTGAGAGTCAGTAGATTTCACCAGACTGGCAAAAAGGACTATAATTCAAAAATGATAAGAAACTCTACTTTAGAGTTTAATTTGCCTTATGACTTTGTATATCTTTTCCTGAACATTGTAAGTGCTGCATTAGTGTTACACAGGGAATCAGGGGTATGAAACGTAAAATCTGAAAGTCAGGGGTGCGGTATAGATTTGAGAACACAGGAGCAGAACAGCTAATAAATGGATAATATTTATTCGTAGCTTAGGCTCTTCGTTTTTGACAGTTATACCCTGATAATATGTCTCATTATGTAATTGTTTCAGACTGTCATATGTAGGGAACAGAAGAGGATGCATTACGAACACAGACTGAATGTGGGTTGTAGCATTTTGGCATCTCGTTGAATATAGTGTGTACTGAAGGGAGAGGAATGGGGTGTAGGCAGGGCAGGACATACTCCTTCATAGATGGTGTCCAGCAACATGCTGCAACACAGGGGGCAGCTATGTCCTGGGGCACACTCATTGACTCAGCAAGGACATTTTGTCATCACCTAAATTGCTAATTGTATCACCAACAATTAAGTCCTTATTTGGCCAGGGCGAGACGAAGCTAGCTATAGAGTTGTACCTTCTGATTGTGGGTAGATTATATGCCTTCCAGTGATGCTCGTTTTATCTAGCAGACATTTGAAACATGCCTGAGGATCCAGAATAAACTTTTAAAA